AAAGCTGACTGGTTTAACTGCTTATGGGGACATCTGTTCCTTCCAGACTCGTGGTGCTCAGCAGAGAGCCTGGAGGAGCTCAGCTGTGCCTGGGGTCTGAGCATCTTCTAGGCATGAACCTTTGTTAGCAGCTGCCAAAATGTTGGTGCCCTCAGGCATGGAGGTGCCAGGATGGCAGGGATTGCTTGGGGTGACTCTCTAGACTTGCCAAGGGGGTTGCAGCTCTATTTGTCCATGTAAAGGTGTTTGGGATCCTCTGCTCTTCCTCTCTTCTGTCCATCACAATTTATCTGCAATTCTCTAAACCAGTTCTCCAAAGCAGATTTTGACAGATTTTGGAGATGTTTTTCCCAGTACTTCTGTAAAATCTGTGGAAGACCTTATGTTTTACCACTATAAAAGTATGCCATGCTCCCAGAATTGGTGTGGGTTCTACTGCAAAGCCTTTTTTTGCTGCTACAGATTGCAGGTACATGAGGCTTGCTGAGATCACTAACCTGAAGCTCCTCCAGTAGAGATTAGACTCCAATTATTATGGAACAATCTGATTGTGATGTTAATGCAATGCCTGGAAGATCAAACATCCCTGTCCTCTCCACGGGTATCAGCTTTTCTGAGATAAACACCTTTTATAACCCTCCTGATTGATTTCTGAGCTGCTGTTCAAACAGGAAGGTGCTTTCTAGCAATCTCCAAAGGCCTCTGTCCCCTGCAGTGTCATGGGGTTCATTCTGCCCTCATATCTTTCCTCCAAGACTGAAGGATCCTTTAAGGTGCCTTTAAACAGGTCTCACCTGGGAGGCTGTGGACAGCCATGAGTTTGTGCACCAGTTTTTCCCCTGATAGGAGGTGTTTTCCAAAGAGGAGCTTGTTGCTCACCTCCAGTGCCAGGTGTCCCAGCAGGACCAGAAGAGCTGGGTACCAACAGCCTGTGCTTGCTGTGTGCCCTGACTCCATTCAGGGCCATCCCCACAGCCCCAGGAGGGCAGGCAGCCTCTGGAGGTGAAATTGAGTGCAACTGCCAGCTGAGCACCACAGATACCAGAGCTGAATCCATCAGGCTCTTTCCTGGGCTCAGGGGCATGGCTGGAGCAGGGAATGCCTCTCCCATTCTGTTGGAACTCAGTGCATCCCTCTGGGTGTCCAGAGTTGCTGGGACCCTGCCCGGGGGGCTCAGAGACCCTGGCACACAGTCCAGAGCACCTGGGGATTTGATTTTGACCCCTGGAGCAAGTTACCAGCTTTGTATGAGGACATGAAAGTCACAGAGGTTTGAATAGTGTAATAACAAAATGATCACAGGGTGAAAATGTAGATTTTAGGATTTTTGGTATGGGGGTTATGGGGACAAGATGGAGGAACTTGGGCATGTCTAGCTTTTCTCCTTCTTCTTTTTCTTGTTCTCCATTTTCTGCAGTGCTGTTGGCACTTTGGGATTGGTTTAGAGTAGAAGTGCACTGTCTAACATAGGTGATAGGTATTGGGAATTAAGTGTAAATATGTTATATGTAGTTTGTAGTATAAAAGGACAACACAGAGTGCCTGTGGCTGCCCTGCTGAGCAGATCTCAGCTGGGCAGAAAGAAAATTTTATAGATAAGAATTAATAAACAACCTCAAGACCGAAAAGTGAAGAGTCCAGACTCGTTCTTCAGTTGCATGGGCTGAAGCAAAGACATCCTGCACATCTCAGGGCAGCAATTAACAACAGCAACCCGAGACCATTCCTGCCAGTGTGTGACTTGAGCCCAGCCTGGCAGTCAGGATCTGGGGTGTCCAGAGCAGCCCCTTTTGGTTGTGTATCCTCTGCTGTTCCTGAGAGGCTGTGCAGAGCCATGGGCAATGTTCCATATCAGCCCTGGCCTGCTGAGGGGCCAGGAGGCTCTGGCACGGCGTGGGAGGCAGCTGGGTGTGTGCTGTGGCTGGGGAGAGGGTGGAGGAATGTGCTGGTCCTTTCCAAGTGCCTCAGCCATCAGGAACCTGGCCTGAACCTCCTTCCCCCTCCCTTCTCTCCTATCTGAGCAATTCCTGGGGGCTGTGGGCAGAGATGGGCCCTCCCAGAGAGCTTGCATGGATTGTTTGCTGCTGCTCCAGGTCAGCTGTGCCAGGCAGAGATGAGCAGCAGGTTGGGAATGCTAGAAGGAGCTCTGCTTGCCTGGAGGGCTCCAGGGAGGCAGGAGGTGTGTGATCCTGGTGGCTCTAGGGCAAACCTGTGCCCTTTTTCACCTGGGCATCCCTGCCCAGTGCTCTGCATGAGAAGAGGCTCTGCTTGCATCTGGGGCAGTGCTTGTGGGCAAGGGCTGGGTGCAGGGCCCTTGCAGATGGGCTGGGCTGTTCCCTCTTTGGAAGAAGAAGTTGTGACTTTCTGCACATTTCTCGTGACCAGCTGATGAGGTTGCAGTCCCTGATCCTGGGTTGGGGTGCACTGAGTGTTTATAGTGCCTCTATCACTTTTGAAGATAAGGGCACATTATTTTATTGCTCCTTCCATCGAGGCATCATCCAGAGGGGAGAGAGGGGAAGGACTCATTTCCTTATGGCAGGGGATTAGTCACTGCAGCCTGGCCCTCCAGAGAGGGCTGCAAGGCTCCCCACTCCACCACACCATCCTGTGAGGTGGGGGCTTGAGATGGAGAGAGCCCTTCCCCACCCAGCCCTCTGCCCAGCCCTGCTTCCCCATCTAGTCCTGAACTTGGCTGTGCCCTCCTGTGCCTTTCCTGCAGGAATCCTGGAGCACCCTCAGCTTTTGCCACTGAGCTGGTGAGGGGCAAAAGGACATCTGAGGGGCTGGCTCTGTGCTGGCTGGCAGGGCTCCATCCCTTCCCTCACACTGTCCATCAGCAGAGCTGCCCCTGGGGCAGTCTGGGCTCCTGTTCTCCCTGTCCCCGGGCTGGGCCACATCCAGGCTGCCCTCAAGAACCTGCTTTATCAATAATGAGAACATGGTTATTGCAGGATGCAGAGATAACCATTGCCACCACAGCTGTGCACCCAGTGTCCTCCCCTCCCTTTCCCCATCCTCCTTCCCAAGTGGAAAATCTGTGTCACCGTGCCTTGCCCTGTAGCCAGGTTTCACATCTTTGGGTGCATTCACACTGAAGGCCAGGAAAGCTGGAGGGGAGAAATGTTCCCTTCCCTGAACCCACCCAGTGCTTGATGCAGGGGCTCCCCTGTGGCAGGGCTGGTGGCCCAGGGGCCTGGGGAACTGGCCCCTGTTCAGTGTGATGGTGTTTCTGTGCCCCAGCTCTGAGCTCTGCCTGTGCCAGCCGCCTTTCTCCTTCTGGGGGAAACTTCCCTTCTGCTCCTTGAATTAAAGCATTAATAAGCCCAGCACCAATCAAGCTCTGAGCATTTCAAATGCCCCTTTGTTTAATTAGCACAGCCTCTGCCTGCAGACAGGGGTGGGAGGCGAGGGGCAAGGACTCAGTGCCCAGGAATTCCTCCTCTTTAAGGTGTGACGTTTTGTGCCAACTATTTGCTCTCCCACTCTCTCCACCAGCTGCCCAGAAAAAATAATAAATTAAAATTTATAGCCAAAGCACCCTCAGAACTTGCAGCATCTCCTGGGGGGCTGCACCAGCAGGTTGAGCCTCTTTCATGCCCCAGGGCAGGAATAAATAACTCAGCTGGTCCAGGGTTGATGCTGTGCTTTGTCCCTTGGCCACGGAAATGGGGTCACTGGCCTTTGCCTGGAGATCCACCTTGGTCCTTTCAGCGAGTGTCACCCCAGGGTGGGTCCCTGTGTAGCTCCTTGCCCTCTGAGGAGGGGAGAAAGCGTGGCCCAACGTTATCAGGAGCGTGCTAACCCCACAGCAAACACGGTTTCACTGGTGCAAGGGTGATGCTGGTGACGTTCGAGTGTGCAACATGGTCCCCTCCTCTCCATGGCCTAATCTAAATTGCTTTATGAGGGGTCAGCAGGTAGACCAAGGCCTGCTGCTCCCTGGGGTGGTCTCTGGGTGGCCCTGAGCTGTGGCACAGCAGGGCAGGGGTTCTCTCACTGGGTTAGTGGTACAGCACATGGATTCAAATGTTCTTGCTCCCTGGTGGGCTGTGGGGCTGGGCTGCCTGCACCTCCTCTCCTGCCATGGCCTGGCATGTGCCAGCACCCCCCAGTGCCACCAGCAGCCTGTGTGGATGTTCCTGTGCAGGGCTGCAGCCACACAGCCTGTCCCTCCACACCATTGCCTTCTGCCTGCCCATCCCTTGCAGCTTTCCAATGTCTCACTGGTGGCATTTTCTCCCAAAACAGACCCTTCAAGGACCTCGGGGCTCAGGACCTGCCTGTGAGGCCTCTCTGCAGCTGAGCTGGGCTGCTCAGACTCCACCATAGCCAGGAGCTGCCCCTGGTTCTTGGGAACATGTTTGCCCAGGGTGCCAGTGCTCACTAGGGTGGGGATGTGGGAATGCCAGGGCTGCCCAGCACCTGGGGACTGGGGTGTGCCACACACAGGGGCAATGAATCCCCCTGTGGGCACCCCAGCCTCATCACACCTGCACTCCCAGAAGCAAGAAGGGCTGGGGGAACAGAGGGAAGGTGTTATTATCCCGCAGGGAGCTCTGCATGTCCCTGCTGGCACCTTGGCAGTAGTGGTGCATGGCAACGTCCCAGCGTGGTGCCCAGGGACAAACTGTGCCAGGGAGTGGCCCTCCTCCCCCTCAGCAGGGCTCCCACCTGCCGGGGCTCCCGGGTGACAAAGCCATCAACCGTGGGGTGGGGGAGGCAGCCAGAGCAAGGGCCAGGGGCACCTTTCACATCCTGCCCCCCTCCACAGCCCCTCGGTGCCGGAGAAAAGCTCGGATACAGTGTGGCTAGAAAGACGTATTTATTGCTACATCGGTTTGCAACCAGCACTCACCCCCCACCCCCGGCAGCACCTGCAGACCCACGCACATGCCCTTGACCCTGCTGCGGTGCCTCCATGGCCAGCGGGCCGCCCCCTGCGGCCACAAGCCCGCTCCCCTTTGCAGGCAGGGTCATCGGGGCTGCGGGCTGGGGTCCCGCCGCGCCAGGAGCTGCACGGAGTAAGGAACAGGAGCCGGGTTCAGAGTCCTTCAACAGTGTAAGCCACCGGCTGGGACCTCCGAGCAGTCACAGGCTCTCAGAATGCCGGGGAGAGAGCGGGGCCAACCCCCCCAAGCACCCGGCGATGCCCGTGCCCTCTGCTCTTACCGCGCTCCCTCGGTGCCAGCCCGGCTGCCCTGGGAGCCGGGAGAGGTGCCAGCCTGGTTCCCCCTGCAGCCACTACACGTATCCTGTCAGGTTGTAGGAATTGACTTCACTCTTGGTCTTGTGCACCTGGCTGACGGAGGGCTGGGGGCTCTTGCTCGCCAGCAGCTGGGGCTGGTAGGCGCTGGAGTAGGCGGTGGTGGTGTCCCGGGCAGGGCAGGACGTGCAGAGGATGCAGCCGCCGACGAGGGAGAGGAGGGAGGAGATGATGCCGAGGTAAAGAGCCTCGCCGAGCTCGAACTTCATGCTGTCGGGAATGACGGGGTTGCGGAAATCCCGCAGCACCACGTGGATGTTCCACACCAGCGGGATGAAGCACAGCAGCCCCCCGAGCACGAAGACAGCGCCGCCCGCCACCGCCACGCGGTCCTTGCCCGGCGAGCCCTGGCTGAACACGGTGCACCTCATGCCGAACACGGAGAGCAGGCAGGCCAGCGAGGACACGGCGCAGGAGCTCACCATGAGCGCCTGGGCCGCCTGGATGTCGGCGGGCAGGTTGAGCAGGGAGCTGTAGATGTCGCACTGGGTGATGCCCGTGCTGTACGTGGCGCACTCCATCCACAGCCCCTTGGTGAAGCTGATGGCTGTCACGATGCTGGAGCCGATGTAGGAGCTGGTTTTCCAGCTGGGCAGCAGCGTGGCGGTCAGCGTGCCGATGTAGCCCAGGAAGGCCACGGTGTAGCCCAGCAGCTGGAGCCCCATGGACACCATGGTGGCGGCTGGCTGTCACCTCTGTCGCTGGCCGAGGCTCGCAGCTTGTCGCCCAGGTCCCTGCCGTGTGCTCACGTTCCCATGGCCCTGCGAGAGGCTCCGCTCGCAGCGCTGCAGCTCCACCCCGCTGCCGGGGGTGCCGGTTTTGTGCGGGGTGGGAGCCCGGGGAGTTACCTGCGGGAGCGGAAAGCAATCCCTCCCGATTAACGATTGACCCGAGCCCGTGCAGGAGCGCCAGGCGCCCTTTCACCCCCGCTATCTCCCCTGGCAGGCTCCAGAGGCAGAGCCGCGCTGCCCAGGACGGACGCCAAAGCCCTCCCCTGCACTGACGCCGCGGGCAGGGATGGAGAGGCAGCTGCTGCTGGGGGGAAAGTGCCCACTGCCTTCCTCGAGCAGTCTTCCCTGTCTGCTGTGATGCCTCGAGCTAAGGAAGCCAAAAAAGCCATGGCTGCACCACCCTATTTGGGACCTGCTGGAAGTGACTGCAGGTGGTGAAGGCAAAGCTCCCCCAGCTGAGGAAAGGGGATGGCACCTTGTCCCCGTCTGCATGGGGCTCCCCCGAGGCATCTGCAGCCACCCACGACCCACTCCGAGCTGCTGAGGCTCCTTTGGCACAAAGGGACACGGCCACCTGAGATTGAACCATGGATATCAGCATTTCTGAGCTGCTGAGGACAAGGATGGAGAGGGATGCATGTGACAGTGACACCTGCATCCCCAGGAGAGCCTGGAGGCCCACAGAGGGCAGAATTACATCAGGGCTGGCATCTCCTTTGGGATGCTTCCTGGAAGCATGCCAGCCAAGCGGGGTGACCTGTCCTGTGGAGGGGTGAGCAGTTCGGGGTGCAGCTCCTCTGGGATTTTGTGCTGGTGCCACCTCCCGCCCACAGCTCTGTACACAGGCAGGGGAGGTTGGCCGAGGTGGTGGAGAGGTTGGTTTGTTTTCCCTCTGCTTTGTTTAAAAATTCCTCCTCCTGTGGTGCCTTGCGAAACCGGGCTGAGCCCGGCACCGCGGCCAGTGGCCTCCCTCCCCCGGGAATGCTCCTGGCTGAGCGTGCTGCCACCACCCGGGGCCTGCCCTGCTCCCGCCCCCCCCGCTGCCACCTCAAATGCTTGGCACCAAAGCTTGCCAGCTTTCTGTCTGCTCTCCTGTGCTCTCACCAAGACCTCCCACACCTAGAAAAGAAAAACCTGGGTGCTCAGGGTGCTCTGGGTGCCGGCAGAAGGCGAGGGAAGGGGCTCTGAGGTACTTACGGAGGTGGCTGGAGGTGCAGGGTGGGACCCGGGGTGGCTGCAGCCGGGGGTCACCCAGGACTGGCGGCGGCTGCACGGGGCAGGGTGAGCAGCCAGGGCCCCAGCCCAGGGGATCAGGGGCTGCAGTTGTTCAGCTCCAGCTTTGCACAATCCACCTGCAAATCTCCTGGATCAGAGGCTTATTGCAGATCAGAATTAAACCCTTTGGGTGTCGGGAAGGATTGGGGAGTTGGGATGCCCAACGTTTTGCTGGTTGTCTATGAATTATTGGGGTAGATTCACCTAATGGGTTCAGCTTTGAGGCTTGCTGTCATCCTTCTGGACAGCCTTAGTGGCTGGCAGGTGACTGTGCCACCATCCATGTGTCCCCTCTGGGCTGTGCTGCCTGTTTTGGGGTTCAAGGGGCAGTGAAACACCAGCAGGTTGAGCTCCCCACTCCTCAGAGCCAGCCTGAACTTTTGGTTTACTCTTCCTGGCCCTGCTTGTCCTCCACGGGGTTTGTTGTTGTAAGACTGCTGGCCCAAATGAGGAGCAAATGGGGAAGGTAATGAGAGCCGTGCTGGCCCCGTGCCCCCTCCTGCTCACCGGCTGCCACAGATGGACAGGGGCAGGCAGGGCCTCTGGTGACAAATTGTGCTCAGAGCTGAGCAGGGTCTGGCCGGCGTTTGGACAGCAGTGTTTGGATGCTGATAGCAGAGCTACAGCAGGGACCATTTGCTATTTTCTTTCCTTGTCCCAAACTGAAACTCTCCCAGGAGCTGGAGGTGACCTGTTTGCCAGTGGCATTTTCTTTGAGTGCTTGGCAGGAGCAGTGGGCAGCGACGGGATGAGTGGCCCTGCTGGAACCAGGGGCTGCATCAGCCTTGCACCCTCACATTGAGGAGCTTTTCTGTCCCTCCTGGTGTGGTCCACATCTCAAAAACTCAGAGGAGACGGCAGGGAACACTGGCAAGTACCTGCTCTGCCATCTGTGGAAATGGGATTGGGCAGCTCCCTGGGGTGATGGGCCATGGGTGCCTGAGCAAGCCCATTGACCTGACAGTGCCTGGGGTTGATCCCTGCCACATGTCCTCCCTCCCTGTCTGCCCTTGAGCCTCTCTGGAGCCATCAGGTGCCTCCTGGTGGCTCTGTGCTTGCCACCGTTGTAGCCCATCACTGTCCTCCTCGTGCCCTCTGTGCTGTCCCCAACACAAGGCCACCACACTGTGCCCATGGCATGCCCAACACACAGTCCCATCCCATGCCCACTGCACTGTCCCAATCCCATACCCATCATGCTGCCCCACCATTTCCCATCCCTTTCCCATCTCCCTTGCCTCCCTTATGCAAATGGCTACACAGAGCACTTAATCATCCTTGTTAATTGTCTCTACCCTCCCCTGTTCCCCCCCGGGGATTTTCTCACAAATGGTGTCCAAATTTTCCCTTTTGTGTTTTGCTTTTCCACCAGAGATCGCAGCCCCTCCGCCCCCAGCCTCCCCTCGATCCTCTGTTTACACAACTGGGACAAATTTCACACTGCTGTCCCCACAGCCCCAAAGAATTTGTGAGTCACGGCCGAGGCAGAGCTATAAATGTGTCCCCACCGAGGGTCTGCAGTGCCACAAGGGACAGCATCTCCTGCCACCATGCAAGCTGCTGCCTGCTGCCTGACTGCCCACGGGCTCCGGGTGCCAGTGCCCAGTGCCTGCCCAGCCCCGGGGCTGGAGCAAGGGGCAAGGTACTGGGGAATGGGGCTGGCAGGAGGGTGAGGAAGGTGGGATGGGGGAGCTCCAGCTGGGTTTGGGTGAAGGCTGCGGTGCTGGGGACACTCTGATGCCATCAGCCATGGGTGGCACGGAGTGTGCTGGGGGCACTCTGATGCCAGTGGCCATGCGTGGCACAGAGGGTACTGGGGACAGACACTCTGATGCCATCAGCCATGGGTGGCACAGAGGGTGCTGGGGACACTCTGTTGCCAGTGGCCACGGAGGGTGCTGGCACTCGGGCAGGGCTGGCCGGGCGGGTGATGCTGTGGGGCTGCCTCACCCGAGCAAGGCAAAGGCAGCAGGTCAGGGTGAGCGGCTGTGCGGCTAAAGCTGCTTTGTCTTTCTCTCCCCCTTAGAGCCCTTCCTCTCTGGAGGCCGTGGCTGCCCCGAGCCCAGGAGGGACCCGCGCCGCGGCGGGAGGAGACGGACGCTGTGAGTTTGGCACTGTCCCCATGCTCGTGGGGTCCCTGCTGGCACCAAACCAGCCTCTCGGGCACTTTGTCCCACGGAGTCCTTTGTCCCAGGGCCGTGCCATGCCCAGCTCCCCTGGAGCACCGGCCGGGCCAGGTAGAGCCCCTGAGGGGACAGGGCCACAGCAGCCCTGAGGGGGCAGCCTGTTCCCAGCCGGGCGGGCATTCCTCAGGGCGTTAGCGGCATGCCTGGGCACCTGCTCTGGAGCACGGGGCAGAGATTACACTGGCAAAAAGCCCGTCGGGAGGGTGTGGGGGTAGATGCCAGCTTCCCCGCGGGGCTGTGAGCGCCTCAGCTCGGGGGCAGGGGAGGGGGGAGTCGCTGTGTGTGTGGCACCCCGGTGCCAGCCCGGGCAGCGGGAGCGCGGTACCACCCGGCTGTGTCTCCCCAGGCTCGGGCAGCGGAGGGGCACGGCGGTCCCGGCAAAGCGCTGGCGTTCTTCCAGCACCCGGTCAGGTACGTGCCCTGGCCCCGGGGCCGCGGGCGGGCGCGGGGGCGCGGCGGGCGGGGGCTCACCCCGGCTCTCCCCACACAGGCTCCTCTGGCCCAAGTCCAAGGCCTTTGACCACCTGTACAGCGTGGGGGAGAAGCTGCTGGAGAACTTCCCGGTGCAGGCCACCCTCTGCTTTTATGAGGATTCGGGCAGCGAGGAGGAGGAGGATGATGAGGATGAGGAGGAGGAAGAAGAGAGGAATGATGAAGAGGAGGAGGCGACAGGGGATGTGACCGCGGGACATCCGCGGAATGCTGGCAGCCCTGACCCCAGCAGGCCGGCGTGAGACAACAGGCAGGGGAAGGCACACAGCGCTGCGTGCGGCAGCGGGGCCAGACCCGCCCGGAGCCCCGGCCAACCCCCGGGGCCACCCCCGGGCTGCGCCCGCGCTCCGCGGAAACACGGCGGGGCTCAGGACTACGGCTCCCAGCGGCCACCGCGGCACCGCCCGGCAGCCGCAACGCGCTCTGATTGGTTACCGATCCAACCCGAGCTGGGGGAGGAGCGTGTGGCCACGCCCACCCTCCCGCCCCGCATCCTCATTGCTAGAGGAAGGCGGCGCGCGCAGGCAGCGGAGGGACGCGATTGGTCGAGAGGCGGGAGGGGGCGTGTCGGGGGCGGTGCCTGCCCTCCCCTGCCCGTCGGCGGGAGGGAGCGGCTGCGGCGGGCGCGGGGCCGCCATGAGGTACCGGCGGGGCGCGGGGTGCGGCCGCGGGGCCGGGGGGAGGACAGCAGAGCCCTGGGACCGCGGCTGCGGGGCTGGAGCGGGGATGAAGGGGCTGCTGCCGCGGAGAGGGGAGCCGGGAGCGCTCGGACTGGCGCGGCGTGTCTGGGCGCGCGGCGAACAGCAGAGCGGCAGAGACGAGGAGGACGTGTCGGTGGGGCGGAGGGTGGGGCTGGAAGGACCCCGCATAGCCGGGGAGGTGGGGCTGGGGGACTCTGCTGTGGGGTGACTGGTGGCATGGGGGTCTTTGTTGTAGGGTGACAGGTGAGATAGGGGACCCCGCTATGGGGTGGCAGGTGAGGAAGGGGACCCCGCTATGGGGTGACAGGTGAGATAGGGGACCCCGCTATGGGGTGACAGGTGAGATAGGGAGCCCCGCTATAGAGACAGGTGAGGAAGGGGACCACGCTATGGGGTGGCAGTTGAGCTAGGGACCCCCGCTATAGGGGGGCAGGTGAGCTAGGGGACCCCGCTGTGGGGTGACAGGTAGACAAGGGGGATCTGCCATGGGGTAGCAGGTGAGCTGGGGGTCCCTGTTGTGGGGTGACAGATGAGCTGGGGGTCCCTGTTGTGGGGTCACAGGTGAGCTGGGGGCCTCAGCTGTGGGGTGGCACTTCGGCATGAGGGCTTTGCCGTGGGGTGGCAACGAAGGCTGAGGGGGGACTGGAAAGCCCCTGCACACCCGGGCAGGTGGGCTGGGGGTCCCAGCCGTGGGGTGACAGGTGAGCTGGGGGTCCCTGCTGCAGAGTGACAGGTAAGCTGGGGTGGCTCTGGGAGCCGAGCACCGTGGGGATCATTGGAGCTGGGTTTGGGCACAGAGGGGCCGGGCTGGCACTGCCAGGGCAGCGTGAGCAGCAGGCAGGGAGCAGGCTGGGGTGTGACGGCTGTTTTGGGAGGGCGAGGCTTCCTGCCCTGTCAGGCGTAGCCGGCGTAGCCTCTTCTCCTCGCCGTGGATGTTGGCACGGAACAGCCCCAATATTGCTGGCATCCAGCCGGCACCGCGGCTACGTGATGCTGGCACTGGCAGCACCCTCCCTGCGTGCATGGCGCAGCACTGGGGGTCGGGGGGACTGGGCCACCCCCAGCCTGTCGAGGAGGTGCCACCTGCCATTGTGGACCCCCCTGTCCCCTCGGGGCCCGCGGGGAGCCGGCTCCAGGCGCGCTCCGTGTTTTCCCGGCACGATTTCCTCCTTTGGCAGCAGTGACGGGAGCGGGGGCGGGGATGGGGGGAGCCTGGGGGGGACACAAATGTGCGACTGCAGCATCCTCACTCCCATGGCTGCATCCCCCGCGCCTCCCCACGGTTGCCGTAGCAACCTCCTATCGATGGGGTATTTATAGAGGATGGGAAGCCGGAGGGGGGGCATCGGGAATGGGTGGGCGTCTGCTAGGTCAGCCTCCAGCTTCAGGCTCCTCTCGGCTTGCGTGGGGGCAGGAGGGATGCTGCTCCCCTCGGCGTCAGCGTGTGCGCTGCTCCCGCTTTTCCTGCTCGCTGGCGCCAGGGGAGGTGGCCGGGAATTTGCATGTGGAAATAAAAATAAGCGGCTGGGACGTCTGCCCTTCTCACCGGCATTGTTTGTGCTTGGAGGCTTGTGTGCAGCTCCCTGGTTGTGGCACTGGGTGCACTGACACAGATACGTGGAACAAAGTAAAAGAGTGTAAATGAAATGAAACAGCATTAAATTTGTTGCCTGGTGTGTGATGTGAGAATATCCTTCTTTCTGTGTCTTTGTTCTCCTGTCCATCAGAGGGGGAGGATGCCTGTAACAAGGAGGGTTTGTGTGGAAACTGTGGCATGTGCTCTGTGCTGTGCTTTCTTTTTTATCCTGGGGCTTTGGGTCTCTGTAAGAACTGATGACAGCAGAAGTGGGTCAAGTGGTCCCTGCCCAGAGCCTGTGGGGGAATTCATGGATCCAGAGGCCTCTCACACCCCCAGAAGGGCTCAGAGAAGCAGGGTTGGGCTGTGGGGCACTGGAGGCAGCAGACCTCTGCTGTGTACTTTTGGTGCTGCTTTCCTTTGCTTTTGCTTCAACTCCAGCCTGAGGTTTGCAGTCTGAGCTTCCCACACTGTTGGGAAGAAGCTGCTTTCTCTCTCTGGACACTGCTCCAGGCTTGCATGCCCTCTTGGCACTTTGAGGTGTAGGAGCCTTGGAAAAGCACAGCAAACCTGATGCTGGCAGGGAGAGGGGCTGCATTTACTGGAAGGTGGCTGTTGTGGGGTGTGCTGGTGTGCAGCATCAGCCCTTCTGTGTGCCTGCCTTTTGTGTGAAAGGAGAAGTGTGTTTCCAGCCCTGCTGACCCTCTGAGCAGCTCTGTGCTGTCCCTCACCTCACCCCAGCAGAGCAGATCCAAGTGCTTTGGGAATAACTGGATGTCTAAAGTCCTGGGCCTGACACCAGCGTGTGGTTTAGTTCCTGCTGTTTCCAACCATGCTTGCTCCTTCATCTGCAATAAATCCCTGCAGGAGCTGGGCAGTCCTGTCCCCTCTGTCTCCTGACAGAGTTGTGGCTTTGCCACAGCAAGTGTCACACACAGCAATAGCCAGCCCAGGGCACTCTGATCCGTGGGGCATTGAGCACAGGGAGAAAAAAAAGCATGGAAAACAAGCAGAGATCCTCTGCTTCTGCAGGGCTTCATGTAACTTCTGCGGGGTTTTGTTTAGTTCAGTTTTGCTTTTGAAGCACAAAAATTGCTTGTCCAGCTGGAGAGCTGCTGTCCTGGCTGTGCAGGCAGCTCTGTCACTCTGTTGCTGCCCTTAGCTTGGCCCAGCAACCAGATTGTGGGTAGGAGTTGCAGAAGTGAGAATTGGCACGTCTGTGAAGTTGCTCTAAAATAAGATGATTGCTTCACCTGTATCCATCAATCTCTTGTGGAAGGGACGAGCACCAGGCTGCTCCCAGCAGTCTGTGGCATGCAGGTCATCTTGTCTGCTGGTGAGAAATTGATTTTATCCCTCATCCAGTTTTTCCTTCTTCCAGTCTGCAAGGGCCCTGCTTCTCCCTGGGAGCTGAGGGTGCCCTGAGCCCCTCCAGCCCCTCCAGGCAGGTGAGGAGCAGGGAGGCAGCTGGAATCCTTGGCTCTCTGCAGGGGCACTGCTGGGCTGGATCTGCCATGGATGCACTGCTCAGCACTATGCTTTCTGCATCAATCTGATCTTGGGTGATGGAGGCTTGGGCTTTGAAACTGGGGTGGAAATGTAAGCTGTCAGTGACTCTCTGTTTTCTTTCCCTGCAGGTAGGCAGGAGCCCCCCTGGCCGAGTGAGGCAGCATGGCAAGTAAGTGCTCCCAGGCAAGGCGGAGAGGGGCCGATGGTGCTGGAGAGAAGGGGATGTTTGACAGCCGCCTCTGAATGCCTGTGCATTTTGGGGGGTGTTATCCTCTCTGGGGAGCAGCTGCCATCAGCTGTTGGCCCTGGGTGAGGTCTGAGGTCTGGCCTGACTTGTGCTTCTCTCTCCCCTCTGCAAGGTGGGAGTCGAGAGGAGGTGCTGAAGGTCTGACCCCTGCAGCATTTCTGTCTCTGTGTGCTGCTTGCTGTGCAGGAAGGGCCTCCCCAGGGCTCTCTGGGCTGCCTGTCTGCTCTGACATCTCTCATCAGCAGTGCTCCTCGTGCCCATGGCTGGCACCCTGGCAGTGCCCACCCTGGGGGCCACACTGCCCTGTGTGCCCGGTGGCATCGGGGCTCTGTGTTCTGTGCAAGCTGCCGAGCTCAGCCCCACCCCGAGCTCGCTGTGCCACACCCAGAGCACTGCTGGGCCAGCACTAAAGATGGGCTGAGCCTGGCAAGGCTGCGGAGGGGTGTGTGGCCTGTCCAGAGCTGGGCTCAAGCCTCCCTCTGGCTCTCCTGGGCAGCCTGCATGGAGGCTGTGTGCCCTGGTGTGATGGGAGCACAAGGAGGAGATGGAGAGATCTGTCTGGGATCTCAGGATTTGCTTGGAGTGCCACCAGAGCCAGCTGTGAAGGTGGAGGCAGTAGCCACGCTGGGGAGGAGGAGGACCCCAGGGATGACAGGTATGCCTTCTTTCATTATCTCTGCTGTGCTGGTGCGGGAGGGAGCAGAGATCTTCAGGCAGTGTTTTTAAAAGGCTGCTTTAATCTTCAGTTAATGAGGAGGGTGCCCAGCTGGGTCCCTGCCTTCCTCCACTGCTGCCTTTTCTCCTTCCCAGAGCTCAGTGCTGGCTCACCAGCATGTCCTGGTGGTGCAAGGTGTCCCCTGTGGTGGCAGTGTCCCCTTCATGGTGACCCTGATGTGCAGGGGGGATGTGGTGATGGGCAGGTTCTCCACCACACGTTCCCTGCCATCCCTGGCTGTCCCTCTGCAGGCACAGCCACAGTCCTTCCCCAGAGAAGCAGCCCCAGGGTGTCCCCTCCAAGCAGGGCAGCTGAGACATGGGGTGGTGTCCACCAGGGGCCAGCAGCACCTCAGGAAAGCCAGCAGGAAAGGGCTGAGGTGAACCCAGCCCTTGCTCCTGCTTCCCCTGCCTAAAAGCTCTGATCTTTCCTGAGCACCGGTTCTCCAGCTGGTGTGGGGAGGCTTGGAGAGGCACAGGGGATCAGCACTGGGGCTGCTGGGCATTGGCAGGTCCCCTCAGCCCCCTGGGTTGGGGACAGGACCTGCCTGGCTGGCTGCTCTTCATGTCAGCTGGGGATCCAGCAGAGATGAGAGGTTTCCTGAGGGCCACTGGTTTTCCTGCTCTGGTCCTGAGCCACTTGGCACTTTGAAGGGGAGGGAGCAGTGGCTCAGTTTCTGCTCTCCTGCCATTTCTATGTCCCTGAGGGAAACTGCATGTGGGGAAAAACACACACCTCTGTCACAGCATGCTTGCAGTTGGGACAGTGCTTTTGATACCTGCCTGCCTGTGTGTCTGTTTTTATTTCCTACCTTAGTGGCCAGCTCAGCATGGCAAAGCAGGGAAGGGGTCCAGTGACTGCTTTCTGCAGGGATGGATGGAAAACCCTGACGGTGAGATCTGCAGCCAAGCCTGTTGCTCTAAGATGTGCTGAGGAAGTTGAAATCCAAGTCTCAGGCCCAAGGGCCAAGGAGGGGAGAGTTTATACCACGGCCTGATCAAGGTGGGAGGCAAAGGAGGTGAGGCCAGACTTCTCCAGCAAAGTACAGGACATTTGCAGAGTGAATGTTGTCTTTGTAAAATTTCATCTCCTTCTGGAAAGGCTCAAGACAAGGTCAGCCTGCCAGCCTGTTCCCTCTGCAGCCAGCATAGCCCTCAACTGTGAAAGCCAAGGCAAGCTGATCCCTGCCCTTCTGCAAGATGCCTTCTGTGCCTCTTGAAAATGCTTTTTCGGTTGTCCTTGTAAAAAGAAAAAAATGGTTTGCATAATAAAGTCGATTCTGAGGGAAGATCTGTGACTCACATCATTCATGCTGCTCTTCATTCACACCTCAGTGGTTCAGCCCTCTGCAAACTCTCACAGATGCAAGGCATTAATAAATCACAAGGGGAAAATGCACCTACACCGCACAAAAGCAGCTCAGTGCCTCCAAGCCCAGGCTGGTGTAGCACAGTAGTAGTTGTTTCTTACACTATGATCTTGTCCCTGTTGATATTTCCAAATACTCCCACAAATACCTTGCTGTATTGCTTCAGCAGCAGGATACATGGAAGGTAAAGCAGAAGGAAACTTGCCTTTCTCCCTGGCAAAAGGCTCCTAAGGAGAGAAGTTGGTGGCTTTTCACTGACTGTTTTGCTTGTGGAGCCAGTATTTTGTTAGCACCAAGCTGGTCAGATGGGAGATTGTGTCCCCCTGCCTCCTCTGCTCCTGCTGCTGTGTGAATGGGTTCACCTTGTTGATCCAGTGGAAGACTGAGCCTGAGGGTGAAGGAGGTCAATAGGTTCCTGTGGATCACCCAGCTGAACTGATTCATGCTCCCAAAGGAAGCAGCAGGATTTTGTGGCTTGGTGAGAAGAGCTGGAAGCAGCCTGGAGCTGAGTGTGTTGAACTGCATTGTGGAAACACTCATTCATGAAATGTGTGTTTGGATCCTGGAACGATCATGTTCTGTGTGAAGTTTCTGCTCTCTGAGCAAACAGCTTCTTTGCCTCCTGTGCTGCTGCAGGTCCTGGCAGGTGCTGGTCTCCTGCACCCCCTGGAGGTGTCCCTCCTGCAGGATATGGAGAGAGGCTTTGGTGTCCCTCTTGCAGGCAGGAGGGTGCTGTTCCTGCTCTGTCTGGCTTCAGGACTGCATGCACTATGGGAGGATTTGAGGAATCTCCCAGGTTTTGGGAGCAGAGGAAAGTTTGTGAGGCCTCTGCACCAAAACACAGTGGGGATGAGAATGTGCTGCTGTGTGAGGAGAGGTTGCTCAGGCCCCTGACTCACATCCCCCTGTGCTGTCCCTGTGTTCTGGGGATGCCTGCCCTTGTTCTCCTCGGCCTGGGAGAAGACAGTGGTTTCTCTAGGGCCTGGACAGAGTCCTTGGTGCCACCTGAGCTTGCATGACCCTGAGCAGCTGGCAGCAGGGACACCAGCTCCCAGCAGGCTGTCCTGTTGAACTGTGGGCTCTGAGTCCCTCTCAGTGCTGGCCCCCTGTCCTGGCACAGCTCTGTGTCCCAGCCCGGTGGGGTCTTGCTCTCCTGGTACTCCTTTGCCCTGCAGCAAAGGGGCAGAAAGATGAAATCCATCAGGGGCAGAAGGTTGGAAACAAGTATTTTTGGAGCCTTTTGTCTCTCTCAGTTGCTCTGTGTGGCTGCAGCTGCTGCTTCTGGTGTCTCTAGCACCTCAGCCCTGACAGGAGGGCTCCTGGTGCCATGTCCCTGGGCAGACCCCAAGAGTGCTGTGCCCCTTTGGCTGTCCCACCTGCTGTCCTACCTGATTGTAGTCCTGGGTTTTTGGTGTGGTGTCAGGAAGCTGGGTTGGAAAGCTTGGCTGGGCAGAGGCCAGCTATGGGGTGTGGGTATCTGTCCCTGCTCACAATGTCTGTGCCTTGTGTGTTGCAGTGTTCTTGGGGGCCAGGAATGCCCACTCGCTGCTGAAACGCTTTCCCAGAGCTAATGGCTTCCTGGAGGAGATCCGGCAGGGCACCATCGAGCGGGAGTGCATCGAGGAGGTCTGCAGCTATGAGGAGGTCAAGGAGGTGTTTGAGAACAAGGAGAAGACGGTGCGTGTGTCCTGCATGTGTGTCCCAGGGCGTGTGGGAGGGCTCACCCTCAGCAGGCTGCAGACAGAGGGAGAGCACAAGGGGAACAGCCTCTCCTGTCCCTTTTGTCCTCTTCTGGCTGCAGGCAGCATGTTGTGGCCTCACTTCCCAGCACGGCTTTCCCTTCCCAGGCATTGCTTTTGCCAGGACTCCCTGCCCACAGCTGCAGGTTGAGCTGGTGCTCCCATGGCACGTGTGGCAAATCTGTGCTGTTGTCCATGATCCTCTAGGCTGGGCTTGGTGTGGAATAAATTTTTCCCTGCTTGCTTTGGGATATTGAGGGATGTTCCCAGGACCTTCTGTGTTAGTCCCACAGCACCTCAGGTTGAAGGGGTGTGGGATATCCAAAACACTGCTCCTTTGGGGGCCTGGGGAGGGCAGTGGTTATTGCTGGTGGTGCCTGCAGCACGTGATGGTTGTTAGATGGTTGTTTGATGGTTGTTTCTCTGTTCCCGTCACAGATGGAGTTCTGGAAAGGCTACACCAGTTCTGTGTACTCTGTCAAGGACCCCGGGCACAGCACGGAGCGCTCTGACGCTATGTATGTGGTGGTGCCCCTCTTGGGAGTGGCTCTCCTCATAGTCATCGCCCTGTTCATCATCTGGAGGTGCCAGCTGCAGAAGGCCACCCGCCATCGCCCCTCCTACGCCCAGAACCGGTACCTGGCCAGCCGGACGGGCCGCAGCCTGCCCAGGGTCATGGTGTACCGGGAGCGCTCGCAGAGCCAGGGGGAGACCCAGTACCAGCGGGAAGCCAGCGGCCGCGGGGCTGGGGATGCCCGGGCCGGGGGCGCCCCGCAGGCAGACAGCACCCTGTGCCCGCCCGAGCATTCCGTGTCCGTCCTCTCCAGACTGTCCAGCGCCACTCCCCCGCCCTCCTACGAGGAGGTGACGGGCCACCCGGAGAGCAGCAGCAGCGGCGAGGAGACCAGCGTCTCCTACAACGAGCCTCCGCCCAAGTACGAGGAGATCGTGGCCACGGCCCCCGCCGCGGGCAAATAGCGGGTGTGCCTCCCTGCTGCCTCTTCACACTGTCACACTCACCCAGCCACCCTCCCTTCACCGTGCCTGGCACCCCCTTCAGGTGTTCGTCAGGCCCCCATCTCACCTGTACAATCTGGTGCCATCACACAATAGCCTTACCCTCCTAACCAAAAATGGCTGTCCCCAGGTGGGGTGAGGCAGGGCTGGCTGTGGGGTGGCTCTGGAGCCATCTCCTGCCCCTCACTCCCCACTCACGTAAGTGCTGTAGCAGCCAGAGCAGAGCAGCAGCTTGTTCCTGGCTCAATGTGGGGGTCTCCCCATGGTGCATTTGATTTCCTCACTTCCCCCTCCAACAGACATAACATTTCCTATGATTAGAGCAGCCTTGCTGCCTCCCTGGGCTGCTGCTCAGCCTCACCCCCATGTTCTGGGCCCTGTTCTTCTGCTCAGGGCTCTGATTAGGTGATGGAGATGCAGGATTGGTGTGGCAAATTTTTGTCCATCCCTGCAGTTGGTGGGGCCAGCTCTGTGGGGAGATGGTGATTTCCCCACGTGGATTTGTTGCCGAGTGGGAGTGGGGAGCCCGGGCCACACTGTGGTACCTGTAGGGATATTTGCTGTGTGGAGATCAGGGAGGAGCAGCTAGAAGGTGCTCTCTGATCTCCTGGATCTCTTTGGAAAGGGAGAAAGGGCTCGTGGTGGTCTTGTCCTTGAGGTAAGTGACTTAGGAGTAGCAGGGCCTTTTCCTGATGCTCTCTGCTCTCCTTCTGTGGGTGCTGAGCAGCTGGAGGTGTGGCTGCTGCAGAGCTGGCCAAGGGGGTCCTCTGACCCCGAGCCAACTGTGGTCTCATGGCTTTAGGTGATGGGGATTCAGCTCTCCCCTGGAGCGTGGCCTGTCTGCTGTCTGCCCCAGAGGTGAGAGCCTGCAGACAGGCCAAACCTCGCCTCTCCCTACCCCAAACCTCTCTGCCCTGCCTGGCCCCTCTCTTTGGGGCTCTTTGTCCTCCAGAGCAGCTACAGGGGGATGTGGGACCCCACTCTCCTCCTGACCTCTCGGGTGGGCTGTCTCCAGGGCTGTGGCCTGGAAGTCCTGCTGACAGGGGCAGGAGCCACAGGACCATGCCTTGACAGTCAGGAGCAGGGCCAAACCTTGCTCAGGTGGTTGTGTAGCCAGGGCAGAGCAGGGAGCTTTGCTGTGGGATCAGTGTCCCCTTTCCCTGGGCAGCTGCCTGTAGGGTCCAGGCAACGGGGCTGTCCTTCCCCAGTCACATCTGATGGATTAATCCAAGGGTTGTCCTCCAAGCCCCCAGAAGCAGCCCAGCAGCTCCCAGCACTGCCACCACCCGCTGTTCACCCAGCAGCAGCCTCTCCACCAGCACCAAAAGGCTATTGTCCATCCATCAGTGGCCTGCACCCCGCCCGGCCCCAGCGATGCCCTCCAGCTGGTGCCCTCAGCCCACAGCTGGGGCTTGCCCAGCCTGGCTGCTCCTGGGGCAGGACATGCTGGCACCTCGTCTGTCCCCTCCCCAGCCTTAGCAGGGTGGGGGTATGGGGAGAGCTGACAGCTCAGGGCCAGAGCTAGAGAACAGCAGAGGGAGACACAAGGGTGCTCTGCATCCTCTGTCTTTGCTGCTCGGTCATTATCCCTGCAGTTTGTATTCTGTAAAACTTGGTATATTTCTGTGCAAAAAAAAAAAAAAAAAAAAAAAAGGTATTTATTAAAAAACCCTCACTGTCTGAGTGGCACTGGGGTGGCTTTTTCCCACAAAGGGTGTTGTGGGGGACAGTGACACCAATAACCCCCACCACAGCTGCTGGACTGTCCCTAGTGAGGATGGGAGCGTCCAGGAATGAACCCCACACATCCAACTGGAGCCCTGAACTTCACCTGGCCATTTGGTGAGGTCTGAGAAACCTGAAGGGTGTCCTGCGTGCCCCGAGCGGCCGGCAGGTGAGATGCAGAAAGGTTTTCTGAGGGTCTTTGAGGGGATTGGGGTGCACAGGTTGTCCTGCCGTCCTCTGTGCGCTCCTAAACCCCTTAGATAATCTCCTTTAAATAGCAAGACTAGGGCAGCGGGGGATTTATTTTAAGTCCTTTCAAACCCAGATTTTACGGTCAGGTCCTGGACCCTGTCCGCATTCAGAAAGTGTTTAAAAGTGCCGTTAATCCCGAGGGGATCATTTATCGCTGCGGAGGGTAGAGATTAGCTCCGGCACAGGGCGGCCCGGGGCTCTGCTGGCCCGGGGACCGCGGGGAGCGGGGCTGGGGACAGGGGGAAGGTCCTGGCGACAGCAATCCCTGTGTTCTAACCCGTGGCTGAGCAGGGCTGGGGACAGGAGGGCTCCCGGGGGAGGTGGCACCAGCATGAGTCGCAACGCGTTAACCACCGGCTGCGGCTTTAAGCGAGGGGGGAGCGGCGGGACACCGGGGGCAGGACTGGGCACCGGGGGCTGGGCTGGACACCGGGGGCTGGGCTTATTACCGGGGGGCCGGGCTGGATACCGAGGGCAGGGCTGGGCACCGGGGGGGCCGGGCTGGACACCGGGGGGGCCGGGCTCATTACCGGGGGCTGAGCTCATTACCGGGGCCGGGCTCAGGGCTCATTACCGGGGGCCGGGTTGGATACCGGAGGCCGAGCTCATTACCGGGGGGCCGGGCTGCCCCCGCCGGCACCGCCCCATCCCGTCCCGGCTGTTTACAGGTCCGACGAGTCGCGTCGGTCTGCGCTGCACAGTAAGTGTCCCGTGTCCCTCCCCGGCCCGCAGTGTCGCCTTGTCCGCTCGCACGACTCTGCGGGCCGCTGCAGCCACCTCGGGCCAGGGCCGGGATGTCCCCAGGGCCGGGAGGGCGAGGGACCCCCCTGTGCCGTGTGTCCCCTGTGCCGTGCCGGGGCAGCGGGCTCCCCCCGAGCTGGGTGAGAGCCCTGCCGTGCCCGTGGCCCTCTGTGTCCCCGAGCCGGGTGATTTGTCCTGCCGTATCCCTCTCTGCCCAGACAGGGGTGTGACCGTGTTCACAGGGGTCTTAGGATGAGGGAAGAGACGAGGATCTGACTCCATGCTTCAGAAGGCTTGATTTATTATTTTATGATATATATTATATTAAAACTATACTAAAAGAATAGAAGAAAGGATTTCATCAGAAGGTTAGCTAAGAATAGAAAAGGAAAGAATGATAACAAAAGCTTGTGGTTCGAACAGAGAGTCCAAGCCAGCTGACTGTGATTGGCCATTAATTAGAAACAACCACATGAGCCAATCACAGATTCACCTGTTGCATTCCACAGCAGCAGATAACCATTGTTTACATTTAATTTCTGAGGTCTCTCAGCTTCTCAGGAGAAAAAAATCCTAAAGAAAAGATTTTTCATACAAGCTGTCTGTGACACAGGGGTGCCCCCGAGCCGCAGGGCAGAGCTGGGAGCAATCCCACTGCCCCCTCCAGCTCCTCGCCCTGAACAGGGTGTGCTGCACCAGGCCTGCCTCGTTTGGAGTGTCCCGGGCTGGAGAGAGACACAGAGAGGGAGGTTGTGGAGTTTCCTTCCCCAGGGCAGGTTTTCCTGGCTTGCAGGACTTAAAGCCACTCTGGTTTAGTGAGCCGGAAATTCCCTGTCGCTGCAAATCCAAGGAGAAGTGCCAAAGCAGAGGCTGAGCCTCTCCAGGAGAGTGGGGAGTGCTTGGCAAGAGCTCGAAAAAGCCCTAAAGAAAGTTAAAGGAGGAAATCCAACCACTTAAGCATTTTGTTCTTATGAGTTTTGACAGCTGATTTTTTTTTCCTCCTTTCTTAATAGCTCAGTCTCAGAGCCTGCTTCTCACCCCCTCCCATCCCTCTGTTCCTTGGGAGCTGCAGTGGTTTCACAGGTGATTAGAAAATGAACAGCTCTGCCCTCTCCAGATTTACTGTTATTAATATAAGCTGGTTTCCCAGAGAACAGTCTGGGAAAGCAGCACAGGCTCCTCTGCAGCACCACAGATGGGAAGGAGAATCCTGGTGCTCTCCATGGCTCTGTACCCTGCCTGGGGTCTGAGGCAGGTTCCTCCTGTGGGGCTGACACATCAGGGACCATCCCAGGAGTTACTCTCCAGTTTCTGAGTGGGGGGTGCCTGCAAAAATGCAGTTTCTTTGGGGTTTTGGGAGAAGAAAAAACAGTTTCTTTGGAGTTTTGGGAGTGTATGTGTGTGTGATGAGACCCCTGGGTTGGGGCTGGGCAAGGGGGTGGGAATGGTGTGGGGCCCCCACTGTGTCCCCACAGTGCCTCCAGGACAGACCCAACACAGGACAGGGATTCTGTCTGCAAGGAGGGAATCACCACTGCTGCTGCTGAGCAAATCCCTGTGAAATTAAAAGGTTTTTAATGGCAGAGGAGGAGGTGAGTGATCACTGGAAGTGCTGGCTGTGGCAGTGCAGAGCTGGTTCTGCCACCCTCCTGTACCCAGAGTGTCAAGGCCTGGCAGCTGCAGGGGACACGTCCCATGGTCCTTCCCCAGGGATTTCCTAAAGGGTTGCAGGGGGCTGGGGAAGGTGAGGGGGTGCAAAGTGCCCTCTTAGGGTGGAGAATTTTTTCTAGAAGCAAAGAAGGACCTTTTTGGGCACACTGATCCCAGCCCTCCGGAAAACATTACTTCTGGATGGCAAATAATTTTTTCCACCAGCACTGAGCTGTGTGCTGAGCCTGTCCTTGCTGTCAGTTGAGGCAGTGGGTGCTAAGCTCATCCGTGGCTCCCAGGACACCTGCAGCCTTGTCCCTGTGGGACATCCCCTTGTCCCAGGCCACTCCTGCAGGGTCTGCCTTTTGGCTGTTTCTGCCTGTGTTTCAGCTGTCTTACAGCATGTTGTGCTGTCTCTGTTGTCACTTTCAGAAGTGCTGCTCCTGTTGCCACTTTGCAGCTTTCTTTCCCTCTGTGTGAAACCCCAGGACACCTGAGGACATCTCCAAAGATGTGTGATGGATCTGACCTCTCCTTAGGGGTAGAAACGAGCCAAGGCACAGACTCTCATTTAACAACATGAAAAGGGGCCCTCTTTATTCTTCTTCACAGCTCAGCCATCCTGAGTGACTACAGCAAACTCCTGCTGTTGGCTTCTCTGACAGACTCTGCTGGCTGTTCCTGCTGAAGTATGACTGCAAATGTTTCCTTGGTATGACCAGAGGCTTTTACCTGGTTTGACTGTGGCTGCAGGCTCTAATTTTATGAGACCCAGACTGACCTCACAGCAGATCTTTTGTAGCAGCAACTCTTTCCCTTGTTTCATTCTTCTTTGTGTCTCTCTGGATTATTCCTTCTTCCTCAGGATCCTCTTCCTCCAGGCTCTGCCTGACCACCCAACCCATCCTTTTATCACCCTTACCTTCATTATTCACAGCTGTGGCCCATTCAGGACAAGGCTGTTCTTTGGTAATTAGTTCAGCTGTGCCTTTCCAGGGGTCAGTCCCTTGCAATCCCTCCTGTTTCACCCCCAGATGTGGCCGCTTTGGGGACTGGACCTGCACCGGGCACGCTGTGACCTGCTCTTCACAGAGGCCATCAACCAGAGGATGCAGGTTCCCCCCAGGCTGAAGGTGGCAGAGAGCTGCAGCCCTGGGGACAGGGCCACAGTGGCAGAGGATGTCCCTGCGTCCTTTAGGATGCACATCCCTGAGAGGATTTCTCTGGCAGGTAAAGCCCTGGGTTGTCTTTTGGGGTGGGGTAAACATCCTAGGGAGTAGAACCCCTTTATAAACCCCCCTTTTGTGTGCTTTGCTAGAGGAGAGGATGGGGGTAGATAATGCAGGCAGTTCTCTTCAGGAACGCAGGGCAGGATGGTGGATGGCTCAGGAGGAGACGGGAATGCAGGGCACCAGCAGAGATCTGGAGGGGCCTTAATGTTGTCATTATATTGCAAGAGTTCTATTGTCATTACATTGCAAGGGTTCTCTACTGCTAGAGTTTTGTACCTCCTTGATGTTTCTTGTAGGCAGCTCCTCTAGGCACTGACTCTTCCTTATCCTCACAGCAGCCAACTGACTCCAGTTCCCACCAATTCACTCTTTTATAACATTCTTCTCATTGGCTACAGCTGTGCCTGTTAAAATCAGGCCTGCTCCTAATCTTTAATAATTAACCCAGCTGCAACTCTATTACTTTCTATACTACCTTTATTTACTTATATTCTATCCCCCTACACCTTAATTCCAACAGGTGAGGAGCAAAATGTGGAGGCATCTCCCTCCATGCCTCCTGCAGTCCCCTCGTGGCCTTTGGGAGGGTCCCTGCTTTGGGATGCAGAATGTTTGGCCCTGTCTTTGACAGACAGGTCTGAAACCTTGCTGTCCTGAAGCAGTGGCTCTGCCTCTCTGGGTTGCCCAAAAAGCCCAGGGCATGGTGTTCATCTGGCACTAACCACAGGCTTGACTCTCCACATGGGTGCATCTCTCTTCCCTCTCCTGAGGCCATTCAGGTTGGCGTAATTCTTCCCTCTCTCCTTCCTGCAGAGATTCCAGACACGGGTTTGAGGCCAGTGCTGCTGACCCAGCCAAGGAGGGTGCCCTCTGTGGTGGTGCACGTGTCCCCAGAGCCCTCTGGGGACGTTCCTTTCCTGCCCCCAGCCAGCAGAGCCAGTGCCCAGCGACGCAAGCGAGCGGTACTGTGGGGTCAGGGATGGGTGCTGGGGTGGGGAAGGGGAACAATCCCAAATTCGGGGTTCTCCAGATAGCTGTTAGCACCCCAAGGCAGGATTCATCCTCCAGGAGGCCCTGGGAGTGAGGGGGTGGGGATGGTGGGGTCTCCTTCTGCCCCAGAGCCAGTGCACACCTGTGTGCTGGGACCTTGATCACATCTCCTGCTGCATTTTGTGGGCAGGGGGCAGGCTCAGGTAGCTGCAGTCTCACCACTGGCTACTGCTGCTGCTTTTTAAGTCCTGTTTTCCTTCTTGATGAAGTATGTGGCAGAGCTGGTTCATTACAGCAGTGTAAAGGGTTCTGGGGCCAGAGCCGAAAGCAGATTTTAGCTTTGTGTGAGAACCTTTCAAAGAGAGGTCCCAGGCATGGGCAGGCAAAGACTTGATTTGGCTGCTGGAGCTGCTGTTCTGCCTCCTCAAGTGCTTCAACCTCCCTGAAATTGGAGACCTGATCCTGGGTGGGTTAGGTTCAGAGTTTTGGATCTGGCTGGAGTTCAGCTCAGCAGGCTCCTTCTGGGGACCCTCTGTCCGCTCTGGGCACATCTCCCCACCTGCAGCAGCATCACCAGCCTGGGGCTCCTGCAGAGCTCCCCTGAGTGCTCTCCCTGTGCTGATGGGCCCCTGCAGCCCCCTCAGGGCACTCAGCCCTGTGCTGACGTGGTTCTGTTCCATTCCCACAGGGCCACCACAGCAGCAGGGCACGGAGGGACAGGACCCCGAGTGACAGTGCCCAGCTGGCCTTGCACAGCCCAGGACAGCACCACGAGGGGTGAGCAGGGGCCCAGAGCACCCAGGGTGGGTGGGGAGCAGCATCTGCTCTCACTGGGCTGTTTTGGAGCTGCTTTGGTGTTCTGGGAGGGACAGGGGGGATCCAAATCAGAGCAATGCAGTGCCTGGCAGGTCCTGCTCATCCATGGATGAGAGAGGAACGTGGCCTTTGCTGCCAGGGATGTTTGTGGTGGGCAGCTTTGAAGGCAGCTGTGTTGTTCCCCAGAGTCTCTGCAGTGGGGAATTTGTCTCTGAGCTCATCCTGGAGCAGGGACTGCTGTCCCCCTTGAAGGCCAGAGCTGCCCTGGGTGGCAGGAGAGCAGCATGGCACACAGCTGTGCTTGGCTTTGGAGCAATCAGGTGTCCCTCTGAGCCTGGGGCCTGCTGGAGAGGGTTCTCCCAGTGATGCCATCAGGGTGCCAGTGGCATTGCCCAGAGATTTGGAGCTGCTGGAGGGATGAGGGGCAGTGCCTTGTGCCAGGCTGTGTGAGACAGGCAGTAACAGGAATGATTCTGTGTGCACCCAGGCCAGGCTCCTGTGCCCTGCCTGCTCCCAGTGCCCCACTGCCCCTCTGCACAGAGGCAGGCAGGATCTACTCCATGCAGAACATCTTCCAGACCATGTACCTGCTGGGCCAGGTGCTGTTCCAGCGTGTCCAGGACTCTCTGTGGGACCCAAGGCCGTGCAGGTGACGTGTCCTGAGCCAGCTCTGTGTCACCCTGCAGGGACTGGGCTGGGCCTTGCTGGGACACGAGCTCTGTGAGCTCTGGGCTGCAGGGTGCTCCTGCATGGCTGCCTTGGGCTGCCCTTCTCACTGTGCCAGCTCTGGGTGCCAGGCCTGGGTGAGCCTCACTAACCAGCCTTGAGTCTGCTGCTCAGCTTAACACCAGTCCTGGGCACCTGAGTGCCCTGTGCTGCTCTGCCATTGCTGGGGGGTTGATGCTAAGCAAAGATAAATTTTTCTGTGTGCTTTTATAGCTTGTTGGAGAGGAGTGTGGGAAGGGAATGAAATCCAGAGCAGATGGCCTGACCCAGGGGCTGTCCCTGAGACAAGACACACCTTTGGCTGTGCCTTGGTCACTCTTAATTACCCTTTCCATGAACTCACCCCACAGCCAGTGCCCTGGCCAGGCTGTGGTGTCCCTCTGTGCTCCCTGGAGCAGGTGTGCAGTGCCCTCAGTCCCTGCAGATGTGCTGGAGGAACCATCTCCACCACCCTCATCTGTGCCCCTGCAGTGAATTCCCTTTGCTCAAAGACGTCCTTGCAGCCTTAAGGTGTCCCCACTGCTCTAAGGCTGCTGAGTACCTGCAGGGACAGCTAAATACTCCTCATTCTCCTTGAGCAAAGCCTCCAGGCAGAAAGGGAGGAGAAGCAGCATCCATCATCACATCCATCATCAGGGGCACATCCTGCCTTCCCTCCCCAGCTGCCTGCTGCTTGCTGAGCATCCAAAGTGATGTCTCTGCTCTTAAAAACTGGAGGCTGAGGCTGTCTTCAAACATCATTTTAATTTCTTAATGGCCAAGAGATCTGGTTAGTGGCTGCAAAGGACCTTCTCCCTCCTCCCTGTGGCAGTGCAGGGCATGCAGGCCATGGTAGCCTGCAGAGCTGCTGTGATGCACTGGGGTCACTCTGGGGCTTCTCCCCAGGCACTCATCTCCCTTTGGAAGCAGCCACCCTCAAACACCTCTGCTTAGTGCTTTACATCCCTTCAGATGCAGACATCCCCTCAGTATGACAGCTTTGTACCCTTGTGCAACAGTAAAAAAACCTAAAGGACTGTGCTGACTTGTTTGTCCTGGAATTTTAGCAAAGTCTGGTCTCAGACAGAGCCTGGAATATCTGGCTGACAGTGACCTCTTGAAGGGTATGAGTCACCAGAAAGCAATTTCTAGTCTCTACTTTAGAGGGTGTCTACCTGTATCAACTGGGATTTTGAGTGAAAAGCTGCAGGATGTGTCCTTTTTTCATGCTTCTCTACTGGGGAAAATTGCATTTTCTTTCTGTTGTGACTGTCATTTTACACTGCAGCTACATTTTGTGCAGGTATGATCTCACAAATGGAGTTTCAGACAGGGATTCAGTGAATCTCTGGGTTGTCTTCAGTGAGATCAGCATCATGTGGCAGAGATAAACACCCTTTCCTCCCCAGGGCTCCAAGGAGTGGGGTTAGGGGCTTGGTAACCCCCAGGGGATCAGTGAGTGCCTGTGTGAGTTATTGGTGATGGAATAGCTGACTTTGGACTAGCCTAGGATGACAGGAATTTATATTTTTCTCACTGTAGATCTGCTTTATTTTGTGGCTCAGTGGTGTGGACCCTGCAGTGAGGCTGTGCCTCCAGGGGCTGCCCTGGACATCGGTGGTCTGTGCTGCCTCTGCCAGTGCAGCAGCTCATTCCCTGTGTTTCCAGGGAGGGAAGAAAGTGCTGAGCATTGGAGTTGCTTGTTTATGTTTCAAATTGCAGATAAAATGTGCTACAAGAGCAAAAAGTGATAGTTCCCTCCAGCTGATGGCAGCTTCCTCACCTGCTGATGCAGACAGGATCACCCCTCCATTCCAGCACTGTCCTGTCACAGCTGCTTACCTGGCTGGCCCTAAAGATGTTTTACCCAGCCCTCAGTGAACTCCTGGCACTACAGAGGGTGGATGCTTAGTAGAAATGTTTCTCTCTGTTTTCTCTCTATTGCCTCTCTGAAGAAATACAAGCCTGTGTTTCCTGTTACCTGTCCTGGCACGTGCTGTCTGTCTGTCTGTCCCCTTTGGGTGCATGCTGGAGGGTACCAGTGTGCATGGGGGGGTTCAGGAGAGATGAGTGCATGCTGTGCAGGGGCTGTTTGCCTTGTCCTGGTGCAGCACAGCCTGGGCACACATTCCCTGCACTGTGGTGTTGTGAGGGTCCCCAGGATGAGGTGGGAGATGAGAATTTGACTGCATGTTCTCAGAAGGCTGATACATTATATGATATTATATATTATTATGTTATATATATAATATATTATATATAATATATTATATTAAATTATATATATTATATGTTATAAAATATATATAATATATTATAATAATATATTTTATATTTATATATAAATATATATTTATATGTTTATATATATTATATTTATATAATTTATATAAATATATATTTATTTATATTTTATATATTAATTATAATATTATATATGTTATAATATTATATAATATTATGTATATAATATATATTATTTATTATATTAGAAATTATATACTAAAACTATACTAAAGAAAGTGAAAAGGATACATCAGAAGGCTAGACAAGAATGATAATGAAAGCTCGTGACAGACGCCTCAGAGTCTGACACAGCTGATGGTGATTGGTCATTAATTAAAAACAATTCACATGGAACCAATCAAAGCTGCACCTGTTGGTAAACGATCTCCAGACCACATTCCCAAGCAATCAGATAATTATTGTTTTCATTCTTTTCTGAGGCCTCTCAGCTTCCCAGGAGAAGAAATCCTGGTGATGGGATTTTTCAGAAAATATCATGGTGACACTGCATGGCTCAGCTCCCTGGGGCAGCGCTGCATTTGTGGGGGTCAGCTGCACCCCACGAGCAGTTCTGGCCCCTCTGCATCTCTGCTTTCCTTCCCAGCTCCCAGGAGCCCGTGCCAGCTGCAGAGAGCACCTCGGAGGAGGCGGGGGTGACCGAGGTGGCAGCAATGAGAAGGCAGGTGAGATGGGGCAAAGGGATGCAAATGCTGTTTGCTGGGAAAGCCACAGGGGATGGGTGAGGAGGCTGCAGGGGCAGCTCTCAGGGCTGGTGGGCTGCTGCTGTCAGACTGGTCCTGCCTTCAGGAGAGGACTTACATGTGTGTTACCCATCGAGCTCCTACCCTGAGGGGCTGCAGGACCCAGCCAGGCCCCTCTGGTAGCACTGAGAGGGGCTCAGATGCTCTCTGAAGGGGAGAATCTTCCTGAAGCATCTGCTGCAGACCAAGGTGCTGCAGTCACTCCTCCCACACAAAGGTAGCTTCTGCTTTAGAGAAGGAGGACCTGAAGTGTTGGGGAAGATGAAACAGGAAAGCCTTATAAATATGATTGCCTGGCCAAAGATTCTGAGAATATGGAAACTATAAGCAAGATGGAAATGAAAGCAAGCTTTGAGATCCCTTAGTTACTGAACAACTGGAAAACAATGGTGTGGCCAGCTGAAGGTGATCCCCTTTTAGTGAAACAACACTCTCTGCTTGCAGACAGGCCCAAGTGTCAGAGCACACCCTGCCAGCTTGGCAGAAGGGGCCCAAAGAGGAGTTTTTAGGGTTTAAAATGTAACACAGGATGGTAATGCAATGATTCTTGTAGGCTGTATGTAAATGCTGTAGGATTTGTATCTTGTATTAGATTGATTAGTCAGAATCAGAATATTCAGCACAGAAGTAAGATTAATTGTATTGAAATGGAAACCTTGCTCTCTTTTACTCTTTCATCCTCTCTCTTTTACTCTTTTGCTCTCTCTCATCTTCTTTACCATGCTCCTGCCTTCTTTCTCTTTCCCATTCCCTTTACCTCTCTCTCCCTCTTTGGGGCCTGCTCTGAGCTGTGGCTGGCAGCTCCCAGCAGGGCCCTGCACCCAGGCCCTTTGCAATAAACCCCAAGTTCCAGCCCTGGCTGCAGAGATCTCTGTCTCTGTCCATCCTGACCATCCTACCTCTGCCACTCCTACACTGAAGGAGCAGAGCTCCCTCTGTGCCTCCCTCCTGTGCCCCTCTGGGAGGTGACAGTGCCCCTGTGGGTGCTGACAGTGCGCCTGTGCTTCCCTTGCAGCTGGCCAGGATCTCGGGGAGGCTGCGAGTGCTGGAGGAGCAGTGCCACGCCTGGAGGCAGAAGGAGGCCCTGGTGTACTCTGTGATGATCTCTGCTTGCCTCATCAACACCTGGCTGTGGCTCAGAAGATGACAGCCCGTGCCCAGCCTCCCCTGCTCACCTGGCAGGGTGGGTGAGGGCAGGCAGAGGAGCATTTTTTGTGTACTTGCCAGCAGTGAAACTTTTTTTCTTGCCTAAGACTGCTTTCTGCACTGTGGGCCCTCAAGAGTGTGTGTCCTTCAGGCCTTGGTGACAGTGAGGGTGTGAGAAGCTGCTGTGAGGAGCTGAGGTCTCTGAAGAGCTGGTGGCTGGCACAGGAGGTGTCCTGTCCTGTGCAGGTGCCCTCAGGCTGCCAGAGGAGATGCAAACCTGAGGAACTGAGTGTTTGTGGGTGTGGGGTCCTGTTACAGTCACAGCCTGGCCACATCCCACCTTGGAGATCTCAACTCTGACCCCATAAAAGTTCTCAGCTAACTGCTGTGGTCTGTTCCTCACTGAAAGTTTCTAAACTTCTGCTGGGTTTCCTTTTCTTCCTTTTTCTTCCTTTGGTGGAGGAGATGCTGCCAGTCTTCTGTGCCCCAGCCCCTCTTGCAGGAGTGGAGCAGGAGGGGCCAGGAGCTCCATCCCTGCAGCCACAGCAGGTTTGCAGATGTTCACATGTGAGAGCCTTGCTGGCATCTAGGCTTATCCAGAGGCTTGGCTCTTTCCCAGAGAGATTTACATGGGAAACCTCTCCATGGGGACTCTCTGGATTATAAAACCTCAGAGCAACAGCAATAGCACCAAACAGGGCAGAGTAAATAGATATTTGTTAGGCTCCCCTGGCAGAGGGGAGTGGAGGAGTGTCTCTCCTGGGTCTTGCTGCCAAGCTGTAACTTCAGTGATGGTGCAAGAGCATGGGTGAGGGAAATTCCTGACCCAGATGCTCTTTAGCTGTGAACAAGCTCAGTTTAACAGCTTTTCTGTTTGTTCCCTTCTCTAGAGTTTATTAACACTTGGTTCTAAGGTGACTTTGAGATGTTTTTGGTGGCTCATCCAGCACATCTGCTGGAGGTGTGCACGCAGGCCCTGGGGGCAGGTTTTGGCAAGGCTTAACAGGACCTCTCTGTGTCACCTGTACCTAATTATAGCTGGATCTACATGTCATCCAGATGTCCCAATAGCTTATTTACAGACATCAGAGCTCAGGTGTTTTCTGCTTGACACCGCACCAAGTGGCCGTGACTGCAAATCTGGCAGCTGGACAGGGACTGATGAATAACTGATAAATAACTGTCCCCAGGAAATTGCAGCTCTGAACCTGGGGCTGATTGCTGAGCTGGGGACAGAGCTGGCATTCACTGCACACCAGAGCCAGGGTGGTGTGCTGGGTGCTGTGGCAGGGTCACCAGGGGCCCTTGCACAGCTGTTGTGGGTAAGGGGGTGTGAGTGGGGCCAGGAAATGGGGTGAATTGTCTGGTTTCTCTCCTTTGAGAGGTGTTAATGTGTTGTGGAGGAAGCTTGTGTTTGGGGTTTATTTTAGGGATGACTTTGGGAAGGCACACCACCTTCAAAGTGTGGCTGGAAGGTGTTTGGAGGAGAGGTGGCCAAACTGGATGTGTTCTCATGGGCAGGTTGTGGAAAATATGACTTATATGTAAGGCATAAATGCTGGTGTAAATCTGGAAACACTGACCCCAAAATGCATATTTTAATAAAGTCTTTGTGTTCTGGATGTGTTTATTTTCTGTGGAGTCTGGTCCTGATGTCCCAGTCAGTGGGAGCAGGTAAGGTTCATTCCCTTGGCAGCAGGACTGTCACCTGCTCATGGGTGTCTCAGCTGCCCTGGCTGAGGGAGAATCCCGAGTAGAAAAGCTTCTGGCTAATGCTGTCCCTGTTGGAGTGTGATGCTTTTATTTCCTATTTTCCCCTCCTTGCCTCCTCCTCCTCCTGGCTGCTTTGTCCCAAGGCAGCACACGTGGCAGGGCTGGGTGTCCCCAAGGGCCACTGCCACGACAACTGCACAGCAAATAAAGTGTTTTGTGCACGATGGGGCTCGAGGGAGCAGCTCTGAAGCTCCCATGGTCCTTTTGGAGGCAGAGAGCAAACAGAGAATTGGAATGGGGGCACATTGCTGCCAGTGTTGCTGGTGAGCTGTCACCTGGAGTGTGTGATGTGGGGACAAGAGCAGGGGGACATCCTGTGCTGCTGGGTGCTCACCCAAGGCTGGGAAATTCTGTTTGTTCCCTTGGACTGCCTGCTGCGTGGGTGCTCAGGGAGATCAGAACAAGGGGAATTCAAGGCTTTGAAGGGGAAAGGAGAAGGTAAACCTTTGATAGCAAAGATAAAAGAGACTCCAGGCGTTGGTGCTTTCAGATCAGCCCTGCACAAGGTGCAGGACTCCGTGTGCCTGTCGGGGATGGATCCTCAGCCGCTGCTAATGGTTACATCCTGAGGGGGAGGAGAAAAGCTGACCTCTTCCTGGCTGCCTTGGGGATGCACATTTTTTGCTAACTAGGCATTAGAATGACTTCCTGAGCAAAATAAGAGGGCAGAAATTGGTGAAAGGCACGTTTCATGATCACCTTCAAACTCTGCAGCTCTTTGCTGGGACTCCAGAGCAGCACTTTTGGTCCCCTGCTCTGCCAGCAGGCAAAGAGGTAAGTGGTTGTGAGTGTGTTAAATGTGTCTGCCTTTCCCAGTTTTCCATCCTAGCAGCAGCTGTGCCACACCTCTGAAGCAGGGACAGAATCACTATTTTGCCCTTCCCCAGGGCAGGGCTGGGAGGGGAGTGGGAGCAGAACCCTGGGCAGCAATCCGGGTGCGTCCCCTGGTGTGGCAGCACCTGAGCCCAGCTGGGGCTGCTGGCTGTGCCTGTCCCTGGCTGCACAGAGACCCGGGACACAGAGCAGCTCAGCAGGGCTGGGGACTCCGGACACAGAGCAGCTCAGCAGGGCTGGGATCTCCAGCATGGCTGGCATCTCTGGGACACAGAGCAGCTCAGCAAGGCTGGGATCTCCAGGACACAGAGCAGCTCAGCATGGCTGGGATCTCCAGTGGGCACTGTTCTGGAGTTGTTGGGGTCCCTCCAGCCCCCAGGAGGCGATGGCTGGGGGGAGAAGGGAACATGTACACAGGGAAATGGAGCATCCCCGAGCAGCACATCTCCCTCCTCCCCTTTCATCCCCAGACACGGCTGCTGCCAGCTCCTCGGAGTGCACCTTGCTGCTCAGGGCACGGGGGCTGCTCCAGGGTGGTGACAGCCACACGGGGTGGGCACTGTCCCCCTGTCACTGTGCTGGTACACTGCTGATCCTGCCCTGCCTTCGCGTTTGAAAAGCCCGAGGGAGCTCCTGGGGCAGGGATGTGACCCAGCCAGCCCTGCCAGCCCGCCTGAGGCAGCGCTCCAGGATCCGGGGGACACCGGGCTCGAAAGTGGACGATGGTGGCAGCACTGGTGGCACCAGTGCTGAAGAAAAGGAAAGGGAGACAGAAAAGGAAAGGAGAAAGGAAAGGAAAGGAGACAAGGAAAAGAAAGGAAAGACAAGGAGAGGAAAAGGAGACGGAAAGGAGACAAGGAAAGGAAAGACAAGGCAAAGCACAGAGAAGCCAGGCAAGGCAACCAAAGCAAAGCAAAGGAGGAGGAGGAGGCAGGCAAGGCAAGAGAGGGGTAGGAAGGACAAGGCAAGTAAAGGCAAGGAAGGGGAGACAAGCAGGGTAAAGGAGGGGTTGGAGTGGGAAAGACAAGGCAAGGGAGGGGCAGGCAGGGCAGGGAGAAGGAGGACTGCACAAGGCGAGGAATGGGAAGGGGAAGGACAGGCAAGGCCAGGTAACAGAGGGCAAGGAGAGCGGGAAAGAGGAAAGGCAAAGGGGAGGCAGGCAGAACCAGGGAAGAGAAGGAAACAGAGGGGTTCCTGTGGCAATGAATGAGGAGCCTGAATGATGAGGAGAGCGTCTCTCATGGCTCCTGGCAGCTGTGGGATCTCTTGGGGAGAACAAAACACCCTGCATGATGCCTGGGGAACATGGTGTGGGCTCCTGCCATGGTGTGGGACCCTCTCTTCCCACACCGTGCTGGATTCCTGCGTTCAAATGTGTGATGTGTCCTGCATGTGTTTCCTGTGGCTGTTCTGTGCTCATTGCAGGTCCCCGGGGCAGGGTGTGTGCCCCTGGTCCCCTCTCCCTGAGGATGCCAGCCAGGAGCAATGGTGTGCACAGCTCCCCAGCCAACCACCAGCCCCAGGGTGGCACGGAGGGCACAGGGCTCAGCACCAGCAGGTCAGCAGCTCCCTGCTTTGGGCAGGGGAGGGAAAGGCCTGGCATGGGCACTGTCACAGACACATTTTATGAAAAAAAATCCTTTTGCTGGGATTTTTTCTCCTGAGAAGCTGAGAAGCCTCATAAACTAAATGTAAACAATAATTATTTGCTGCTGTGGAATGCAACAGATGCATCTGTGATTGGTCTCATGTGGTTGTTTGTAATTAATGGCCAATCACAGTCAGCTGGCTCAGTCTCTCTGGTCAGTCACAAGATTTTATTTTCATTCTATTCTTTTTCTATTCCTTGCAAGCCTTCTGATGAAATCCTTTTTTCTACTCTTTTAGTATAGTTTCATAATATAATATAATATAATATAATATAATATAATATAATAATCAGCCTTCTGAAACATGGAGTCAATATTCTCATCTCTTCCCTCATCCTGGGACCCCTGTGAACACCACCACAGGGCAGGGCTGTGGTGCCCAATCTCTGCTGCCAGCTTCCCCCAGTGTGCCTGTGTGTGTGGTGGCACAGGGTGGGTGTGATCCCACAGAAAGACACAGACTTTACCAGGATTTCCTGGGAGGGGCTGTGGGAAAACTCAGAGAGAAGAAAAACAATTATTATCTTCATTTGCTACATCTGCTGTTTGACACATGTGGAATGTGTTATGGAGATTATTTACCAAAAGGGATTTCTTAATTAGACTTTGGTGAGAGTGTTTTAATTTATTAACCAATTAGGTCAAAACTCTGTCGTGACTGTCTGTAAGGGTCACGGGTTTTTCTTTCTAGTATAGTATAGTTAATATATTATAACTTAATAAAATATTTAACCAGCCTTCTACAATCATGGAGTCAACACATTATTCTGGGGTTCACCACTACAATAATCTCCTTTTTCCCCATGGCAGGACCTGCTCAACCCAGGATGGCACCAGCTCAGAGCTGCAGAGAGGCGCCAGCCTGCCTGGGGGGGAGCAGAGGGCTGACCACGCTTTCCAAGGCCAGGGAGCCTTGGCCAGGTATTTGTGTGTGCCCTGGGGTGGGGTGAGGCCTTTGTGCACTGGGGCCTTCTGTAGGGTGAGAATCCCCTTCTGCTGTATGGAATTCATGGGATGAGCATCTGTGAATGCTGCCCTTGGTGCCCCAGTGCCCCTGGAGAGGGTTTTGGTGTGGGATGGCTTCAACCCCACTGTGCTCAGAGGCTCCTTTCCCTGCAGGCAGCCTCCCTCTGCCTCAGCGCCCCACAGGTCCCTCATATTCCTGTGGGAGTGACAGCAGGACTGGAGTAGAAGTTGTGTGACTCTGTCAGGGTGGTCTCTATTGCTTGTGTATTTTTGGTCCCACATCATCACTAAAAGGGATGAACCACAAATTCTTGTGCTTGAATGTCAGACGCATTTTATGAAAAATCCTTTCCTGAGGATTGTTCCTCCTGAGAAGCTGAGAGGCCTCAGGAACAAAATGTAAACAATGATTATCTGCTGCTGTGGAATGCAACAGGTGCATGTGGGATTGGTCTCATGTGGTTGTTTCTAATTAATGGCCAATCACAGTCTGGCTGGCTCAGACTCTCTGGTCAGTCGCAAGATTTTATTATCATTCTTTCTTTTTCCTTTAAAGCCTTCTGATGAAATCCTTTATTCTATTCTTTAGTATAGTTTTAGTATATAATTTTCTTTTAATATAATATATATCATAAAATTATAAATCAGCCTTCTGAAACACGGAGTCAGATCCTCCTCTCTTCCCACTTCCTGGGACCCCTGTGAACACCACCACGCTTGAGAGGAGCTGTGAGAGTTTTCTCCCCTGATGTCTCTGTTGAAGCTTTCCCTGTCCTTGCTGTGTGTTGTTAACCCCTGGTGTGCCTGTCTCCCTGTGCAGGATAGCACGGCTGGTGCTGGTGCTCAGGGACTGGGCCAACAAGAGCCTGCACGAGGAGCAGCAGAGGCCAGATCCCTTCCTGGAGCGATTCCAAGGCCCTGAGCTCCTGACAGTGCCCGCAGGAGCTGCTGACGGGCTCGAGGATGAGGAGACTGAGAAGTTAAACAAAAAGTAGGGTCCCTTTGCTGTGGTCCCTGCTGTCCTCGGCTGGGGATCAGCTGTGTGTGGAGCTCAAGGGGGAAAG